ATGTATAGAGGTGTGGCTCAAATGAGGCAAGGACTAGCCTCTACCTCCCAATCCTCCTGCCTCAGCCTCCCAAATGCTGGGCTTACAGCTCCAAGTAGCAGTTTTAAACCCTGAGCTCGACCTGGGATAATATCTTCCCAGCCTGCGGGGCAGAAAGTCCCAGAGGCTCCTATCTCCAACGAACCCCCAAAAAGCTGGAAGTAGAGCTGTGGCTCAAGTGGCAGAGCATCAGCTAAAGCTCAGGGATAGTGCCCAAGCCCTGAGTTCAAGTCCCAGTACACAAGAAAAAGAAAATGAAAGACATCAGAACCTTCTTCCTTCTTAGAGAGAAAGAAGGGCAGGGGCCATGAGGCCTTAGCAGGCCTCCCACCTCACCCCGGGGAAATCCAGAACAAGAAGCAGGCCCAGACAGAGCCAGCTCCAAGGTGAACCATAGGCCTAGCTCACTTGGCTAGTACCAGGCCCAGGTTTGAGTCCTCAGGCCCTGAGGGTGAGGCCCAGAGTCCTGGGAATACCACTAGTTTCTCAGCTGTACAAAATAGCAAGTGCTCAGTTGAAAAAGTGAGGATGATCCTCCCCCAGAGGCGGGGAGGGTCCCAGCCCAGAGGGTGCAGCCTCCAGAGATTTAAGTCCCAAGTCTGGGCTGTGATCTCTTTAGTTCCTGGAACTGGAGCTGTGCTGGGAAGGGAGGCAGAGAGGCTGGAGGATGGCAGCTAGAGGCTGGATGGAAGGAAGAACTTCACGACTTGCTAGACTGCACAGATGATGAAGATGACGATAATAAGGACGCTGGGGGGGGGGCATGCTGGGTGGAACAGCCCAATCCCAGGAGGTGGGGGGTGAGTTGAGGCTTGGGTGGGGGAGACAGGACTAAATCCTGTGGCTGAGGTATCCAAGAGCCACACAAGGCCCATCCAGGAGCCCAGTAGGCCAGGCCTTATCCCAGGAGTGTTTGTTTGCTTGGAAAGAGCTTGAAATTAGGGCCTGGGTGCTGTCCCTGAACTTTTTCATTCAAGGCTGGTGCTCTACCACTTGAGCCACAAATCCATTTCCAGCTATTATTTTTGATGGTTCATTGGAGATGAAGAGTCACATGGAAGTCAGGCACTGGTGGCTCCTGCCTGTCATCCCAGCTACTCAGGAGGCTGAGATCTGAGGATCATGGTTCAAAGCCAGCCTGGGCAGGAAAGTCCCGTGAGACTCATCTCCAATGAGCCACCAGAAAACCGGAAGTGGTGCTGTGGTTCCAAGTGGAAGAGTCTCACAGACTTCCCTGCCCAGGCTGGCCTTGAACCATGATCCTCAGATCTCAGCCTCCTGAGTAGCTGGGATGACAGGTGTGAGCTGGAAGGAAAATGGAGGGAAAGGAATAGGCTATGATTTTTTTTCCCACCTGTCTCCCCCCACACACCCGGATCCCCCCATGGCCCTACTCCAGGACCTACACAGAGCAGCAGAAACTCTAGTTAGAAGGATATGTCCACATGGATGGGTACCCAGACCACCAGACGGCCTGCGAGAGTCAGACGTGCAGGTGGGACCCTCCTGCCCATCCCCTGTGAGATCCCCCACTCACTCCCTTGGAGCCCAGACTCTGGTCTTCCCCCTCCCCTGCCCTCCTCCACATCCAGACAATTGGCACCATGACACATGCCTGTAATCCAGCTACTTGAGAGGTAGAGGTAAGATTTCAAGAATCTGAGAACCTTGTGTGTTCCTGGTGCGACACCCTGCCTCTCTCTCTTCTGGGGTCCCCTAACTATTGGAGAGGGGAGGGGTAACAAACATGACAGAGCCTCGTCCCTGACTTTGTCCCTCTTTGTGCTCTAGAAATTGTTCTGGAGCTTCTTCAGGTTTGGATACTGTAACTATAACTCCCCCCTGCGAAGGCTGAGGGTCCTGCAGGCCCAAGTGCCCCTGGCTTGGGGTCCCCAGCTCCCAACACATCACCACCCCGAGTTGCCACCCAGGGCCCCCGAGGAGCTAGACCGGATGAACGACCGGGTTTTGCCCCACTCGATGGTTCCACCCTGTGAACAGTGAACCGACCACTTCCTCCATGCCAGTCCCGGTCCCCAGCTTCCCTGGCTGCCTGCCTTGTTCCAGGGCCACTCTGGGTGCACCCCTGTACCCCCAGAGTGCCTGCAGCCATTTCCTGACTCAGACCTGGACTCATTGAATGTTGGGGAACCCAGAATCACCAACAGCATTGTGTGTGTGTGTGTGTAGGGAGGTGGGGGACTTGAACTCAGGGCCTGGGCGCTGCCCTGAGCTTCTTTTGCTCAAGGCTGGTGCTTCACCACTTGAGCCACTGCGCCACTTCTGGCTTTTTCTGAGTATGTGGTACTGAGGACTTGAACCCGGGACTTCCTGCATGCTAGGCAAGCACTCTACCACTGAGCCACCTTCCCAGCCCCCATTTTTTTAATCCATCCATCTGTTTGGAATTTATTTTATCCACTGACAATACCTATGCTTTTATTTCCCATTCGTATTTGTTATTGCAGCTTTTGGTTTTGGGGTTTGGGTTTTATTTTTCTTTCTGCTTCCTAACGACCGCCCCCCTCCCATTGCTGGCTTGGTTTGGGGCTTTGTTGTGTTTACATCCATGGCAGGCTGCTGTAGTAAAGCTCATGAGAATACACTAGAAACTGAGGCAGTGTGACAGAGCTGATCAAAACCCCAGAGTCTGTTAGCCTGCGGGCCTGAGTCTACAGTCTTTGGGGTCTTGTCTCCTTGCGTGCACCCCTCCTGTCCCCCTCCTCCCTGCCCGGGGCTCCTCACAGCTGCCTCTCTGACCCTGTCCTGGTCTCATTTAGCAAATGTCCCAATCCTCTTAGGCAAGGGCAGCCTCAGCAAAATCCCAGGGGGAATTAGTGTGGATTTGGGAGGCCCACGTGCTGTGCCAGGCTGCGGGTGGGTGGTGACAGAGTGGCAAAGCTTCCAGTTGGAAACAAGGCTTGAGGGTGGACAGGGAGAAACAAAATAGTAGAGTTGCTGGGTCTTGAGATCCAGGACAGATGCCGGACGCCTGTAATCCCAGCTACCCAGGAAAGTGACATTTGAGGATTGTGGTTTGAAGCCAGCCCAGGCAATTAACCTGCCACCAGCGGGGCTGGCCCCCTCCCGCTGGCCCTCTGCTGCCCCCTGGCGGCCACACTTCCTGTCCTGTGCCCTCATAGCCAATTCTCCAATCCTCTTAGGCCAGGTGGGCAGGGCTGGGCAGTAGTGAGTTAAGAGCTGATGAGGCCCAGATACAGGACCAGCCACTGAGAGGACAGGACAAATAGCATGGGTACCCCAAAAGGCTTTCCTGCTTTTTCCCTGTGACAGACTCCCAGCAAGGTGAGGAGACTGGGGGACAGCAGTGCAGGAAGCTTCTCTTCGCAGTGTGGTTGCCTTGTTTGGGTGAGTATTAACAGGATGTGGGTTGGGACCCAGTCCCCTGCTTGATAGGCAAGGGCTCTACCACTGAGCCATTCCCCAGATCCCCATAAAGCCCTTAAGGCTCTAAGTCAGTAGTCTTAATAGAGCAACAAGGAGCAAAGTGCATGCTCATAATCCCAGGGATGCTAAAGCTGAATGACAGTGAGTTCAAGGCTAGCCCTGTCTCAAAACAACAGAAGAGCAGGGCACCAATGGCTCATGTCTATAGTTCTACTCAGGAGGCTGAGATCCAAGGATCACAGTTCAAAGCCAACCTGGACAGGAAATTCTGTGAGACTCATCTCCAATTAGCTATCAAAGAGCCAGAAGTGGAGCTGTGGCTCTAGTGGCAAAGAAGCAGCTTTGAGAAAAAAAAATCTCAAGGACAGCACCCAGGCCTCCGCATTGGCACACCTGTGGGTACACACACACTAAAAAAAACAGTATCAGGCACTGGTGGCTCACACCTGTAATCCTAGCTACTTGGGAGGCTGAGATCTGAGAATTATGGTTCAAAGCCAGCCCGGGCAGGAAAGACTGGTTCTCTTATCTCCAATGAACCATCAGAAAACCAGAAGTGGCGCTGTGGTAGAGCACTGGCCCTGAGCTGAAGAGCTGAGGGATAGCGTCCAGGCCCAGAGTTCAAGCCCCACGACCGACCAAAAAAAACAACCGAGTACGGAGTACAGGGGCCAACTACAGCTGGGTCGGGTTCTGGATTGAACATTAAGACAAAATTAAGCACATTCATTAATGTTATAAGGATTGCATGATATTAAGGAATTACTGCTAGTTTTCTTAGCTACACTTCTAATTTTAAGATGGGCACGAGATGTTACCAAATCAAATAAAAATTCAGTAATTTGAGTAGTTCCCAGAGACGGCCACTGGGCGGCAGCGGTGTGAAGGAACTCATTGTGTGGCCCAGGCGCGGTAGGAGCCTGAACTTGAGCTGAGCCTGGGCTCTCTTCCCCAACCAATCCGGCTTCCAGATCTTCAGATGGGCGGGCCCACCTGAAGAGAGGTGGGGCCCACTACCAGCCCTGGCCAATGGGCTGCAGCTTCCAGCCCGAGTCCTTTGGTACCCAGGACCTCTGAGGTGGAAGATACTGGGGGCCTATTGTGTATGAACTGGGCCTACTTGTCTGTTGGAAACAGGCCTGAGAACCCGCCCAGGCAGGAACAGGCACAAATGCAAGATCCTACTCAGAAAGCTGAAACTTGGGAGAATTAAGTTCAAAGCCAGCCCAGGAAAAAAAAAAAAAAACTGTTGGGCTGGGAATGTGGCCTAGTGGTCAAGTGCTTACCTAGCATGCATGAAACCCTGGATTTGATTCCTCAGTGCCACATCAACAGAAAAGGCTGGAAGTGGTTCAAGTGGTAGAGTACTAGCCTTGAGTTAAAGAGGCTCAGGGACAGCACCCCAGTCCAGTCCCTGAGTTCAGGCCCCAGGATTGGGGAGGAAAAGAAAGCACCAGGCATGGAGGCGTGGGGGGCTGGTGTGCTGCCTCTGTGGCTGGCAGAGGGTGGGATCAAGGGGCAGGCCAGGACAGACAGACTCCCACACAGACGCCTTGCTCTGAACTCATCGGTTTACTGAATGTTTATTGGAGCTGTTGCTCATGGCAGCAGATGGAGAAGGCAGCCACAGGCTTCGCATCTGACAAGACAGGGTCGTGGGGAAAGGGGAGTGTGGGAGATGGGAGGGGGGCTGCGGGCAGAGGTGACCAGGAGTCCTCACTCTCCCACGCAGAGGCAAAGCCCAGGGGCGTCGATCACTGCCCCCACCTGGAGGCCGCAAGAACATCGAGGAAGGACCAGGGGTCCGCGGACATTTCAGTCCTTCCTGTCATCAAGCGAGCGGGGAGGGGCAGGGCCGAGGACCCCGGGCTGAGGAAAGAGAAGGGTGTTAGGGGGAGCGATGAAGGAGCAAGGGAACAGAACACAGGGTAAAGAGCCCTTGAAAGCCCAGGGGAGGGGACGGGGCAAGTCAACTTCAGCTAAGTTGGTACAAAGGTCAGTGCCGATGGAGACCACCAAAGAACCCAATGCCCCAGGCACCAGTGGCCCGGCCCACAATCCTGGCTACTCTATTTAGAAGCTGAGATGCAGAGCACAGCAGTTCCAGGCCAGCCCTGGATTCAGGGAATTCTCTTGGTAGATGGTATCACTCCACATTAACCAAAAACAGAGTGTAAGTAACAAGAGAGAGCTGGGCATGGTGACTCAAGCCTGTAATCCCAGCGACTTGGGAAGTAGAGGAAGGATTTTAAGTTGAGTCTTGCCTGGGCAAAGGTAGTAAAAACACTATCTCAGAACCAAAAATACAAAAAAAGGGCTGAGTTGTGGCTTAAGAGGCCCTGGGTTCAATCCTGGCTACGGAGGGTCAAGCGGCCGGGAGGGAATGGGGGGAGTTACTGGCCACAGAATGAGGCAGGCCATGCAGGACCGGCTCCACCTTAGCTCTGCAGTCGGAACAGGAATGAAGAACTGGGGGGGATGGGCACCTGCCTGTAATCACACACATGGGGAGGAAGGGCAAGGGGGACCTCACCTCTGCCCTCAGGGCCACTCTAGCCCTGGGCCAAGGCAGCTTTGATGGCGGCTACCAGCTTCAGAAACTTCACCTCGGTGTCCACGTAGCCATCGCCTCTCTGGGGAGGACGGGGGAGGAGAGGGTGAGCCAGGATCCCCACATCAACCCCAGGCAGAAAGACCCCCCCCAAACAAGGCGAGGTGCAGACTCACCTTCTTTGAGTGAACCAACTTCCCGCCTACCATGACCTCAAAGAAGCCGGTGACCTGCGGTGTGCCCTCGCCACACTGCGAACAGGGAGGGCGGGGCTCAGGGGTCTGGGGGACACCCTACCCCCACCCCAGGGAGTGAAGAGGAGGGGGTGGAAGGGGTCAGGGTAGACCCCCCCCCTCCCAAAGTACTGCCCAATCACTCACGATGTCCAGACACCCGGGGAACTCATCTTCCAGTTTCTTCTTGAGCTGGAGATACTGGGACAGAAGAGGTCAGAGGTCATGCTGGGTGCTGCCAGCCCACCCCTAGTGTGCCCTCCTCCCTCCTCCCCACCCTCACGGGACTCACCTTGGGCTTGTAGCCTCAAGCGCCACTGGTGGGCGGGTGCAAGCAGGCCGACACAGTCCAGGAGAGGCAGGCGGGGAGGGGGGGGGGGAGAAGAGGTGCAGGGGGCACAGGTGTCAGAGGAGGAACAGAGGCCCCCCCTGGGGGGAGGGGGCTGGCAGAATAAGGGGTGTCCAAAGAAAACCCTGTCACCCCACACCCCAACCCCTCCCAGTGCCCAGATTGAAATAGAAGCTGGAATCTGGGGCACCGCCTTCCCCCCCCCCATGCCAGGCGGGCCCTGCCTGGCCGGGGCACCAGCATTCTGACAGGCCGGGGGGTGGGGGCTCAGACAGCTAGACCCGATCCAACTCCTCCACCACCTGCGGGGTGTGGCCCCCAAACTCCTGACCCTGCCAGGCCCTGCCACCCTCCCCCTCCCCCGCCCCGCAGCCCTGCCCGCCCTCCAGGACTCTCCGGGCCGGGGCGCTCGGGACACTGCCCTACATAAGGGGAAACTGAGGCCAGAACGGTGAGGTGAGGAGCCCAGGCCAGGAGCGCTACATGCCCAAGGCTTTTCTTCCGGAGCTCCGGCCCCCGCAGGCTCATTCTGGAATCTTCTCTCCCCCACCCCACCCCCACACACACACCGCCCAAGGGGGAAGAGGACCTCAGGAATGGGAGCCGCGGCATGACGGCAAACAAAAGACTCCCGAGAACACGTATCCATCCCTCCCGCGGCGCCTGCGTGCCTCAGTATCCCCTTTCGACCCGACACGTCGCCCGGCACCAGCCCGGTGCGCCCTCTCCTCGCGGGACCCCCGCACCCCGGAACCCGCTGCCCTTTGCACCGGGGCCGGGGACCCCCCCCTCCCCGAGCTCACCAGTACACGACCCGCACGGTGAGGACCATGGCTGGGGATCCGCAGCGACCACCAGCGACGACGCCCCGAACTCGCGAAGCTCCGGGTCCGCGCGCCGGGCCGTGCGCACAGGGAGGGGCGGGGCCTGCGCGGCCCGCGGGACGAACCAACGCCGGGGGTGGCAGAAGAGAGAGGGGCAGAGGGCCCTGAAACCCGGCCTACCCTACCTCCCTCGCCCCCCACCCCAGTGATGAGCAAGGAGGCGCGCAGGCGAGGGGGGGACTCCGAAATGGGTTTTCCGAGCGACCCCTGGGGGATGCCTCCCACGGGAATGGTACGGTTCCCCCCTCTGCGAGAATGGTACGGTCCCCCTTCTACGAGAATGGTACGGTCCTCACCCCCGCGGGGGAATGGTACGTCCCCGCCCCCGTACGTCCCCTCCCCCGCGGGGGAATGGTACGTCCCCGCCCCCGCGCGGGAATGGTACGGTCTGCCGGGCCGAGCCGGCCGCGCCCTTGGCTGAAACCCAGAGCGGGCGGCGCGGGGGAAACCGAGGCACGTGGCGCTGACGCCTCCTTCTTTCGGGACCAGGCAGGCCTGTAGAGTTCGGAATAGGCCCTGGGGCGAGCGGGAGATTCTCGGGAGCGCCCGGTGTAACGGCCTGGCGGTTGGGCCCAGGGCGCCCTCGCACCTGGCAGCCCTCTTTTATGCACCGTCCCGCGGCCCCCAGCCGAGGGGTGCGTGGAAAGAACTGCACGCGGTAAACTGAGTTGGGTTACACCTTTCTCCTTCCTCCCTCTCAGCCTCAGTTTCTCCCCCCCCAAGATGGGTATAACACCCCCAGGGAATGGTCTCTCGGTTAACCAATACAGAGCAGGGGGTGCAGTGGCTCCCGCCTGTAATCCCAGCTGCTCAGGAGGCTGAGATTTAAGGATCGCAGTTCAAAGCCAGCCTGGGAAGGAAAATCCATGAGACTGTGATCTCCAATGAACCCCCAGAAAACTGGAAGTGGCGCTGTTTGTCACCAGAAGAGGTGAGGGTTAATGAAGTTCCCCTTTAAGTGTAGGAACTCTTCACTTAGGTCTTTGACTTGGATGCAGAATGAGAATTTCTGGACAAGTCACTATGGTAAGAAAACTTGGCGGAGCTTTATTAAGTAAACAAACAGGCAAACAGAAAACGCAGACAAACAGATGAGCTGAAGGGCAGGGGCACACTCTGAGTGTGGGTAAGCTCACACACAGAGAGACACATACAATCACACCGACACACAGTTCTTTGGCTGTTGGAGTGTGTACAGGGTAAAGGCAGGGGTCTGGCTTCAAAGTTAAGATAGGTGTTTTGTCTTTGCTCTAATCACACCTGGTGCTGCTTTCTGAGTTTGCAGGTAAGAGTGCATCCTGCCATATAACAGATTCTTATCCTTAAGATAAGGTGGGGGCACCCTGCTATCTGCATTTTGGGGCAGCAGGAGATGGATTATGTTTGGGGAAGCATTTTTCTCAGGAAGACATCCATCATCTGTCAGACAAGTGTTTTTTGTTGTTGTTTTGTAGGTCTTGGGACTTGAACTCTGGGCCTGGGCACTGCCCCTCAGCTCTTCAGCTCAAGGCTAGCTAGCGCTCTACCACTTGAGTCACAGCACCACTTCCAGTTTTCTGGTGGTTCATTGGAGATAAAGAGTCTCACGGGCTTTCCTGCTGGGCTTTCCTCATGGGCTGGCTTTGAATGGTGATCCTCAGATCTCAGCCTCCTGAGTAGCTAGGATTACAGGCGTGAGCCACCAGCGCCCAGCATGCATTGTATATCTTTGAAGTGAAGCTGGTACTTCTGTGTTTCTTAATGTCATATTTCTGCGTTGCCTGCACCAGGCCTTATTTTCCTCAGGTTACCCTATTTCAGCTCTGTGGCTCAAAGTTGTAGAGCAATAGCCTTAAACAAAAAGAGCTCAGGGACAGTACCCACACCCTGAGTTCAAGCCCACAACAGGACAAAAAAAAAACCTTCCCACTTCCACTCAGCAGTGATTTGGCCAGAGGGTATCAGGGGACAAAAAAAGGGCTGGGGCTGCCTGATGAAGTCTACCAAAGCCCCAGTGCCCACGTGTAGTCCCAGCACTTGGGAAGCTGAGATTCCCCACTTGCATCTCCCACAGATGAAGGTCCTTTAGATGAAGGTCCTTTCTGGCCTTTTCACTGTTTTCTTTAAAAATTCTTTAGCCGGGTGCCGGTGGCTCACGCCTGTCATCCTATCTACTCTGGAGGCTGAGATCTGAGGCTCCCCGTTCAAAGCCAGCCCCAGCAGGAAAGTCCATGAGACTCTTTATCTCCAATAAAACACTAAAAAACTGGAAGTGGCGCTGTGGCTCAAGTGGTAAAGCGCTCGCCTTGAGCTGAAAAGCTGAGGGACAGTGCCCAGGCCCACAGTTCAAGCCCCACGACCAACAAAAAAATATATATATATGTTTTTTTGGACCAAGTGGCTGGAGTGGAAATCCACAGATCACAGCCCCCAGAAAAGGGTCTCTGGTTTAGGGCTCCCGTTCTTAGGGTACAGAAAATCAGAAGTAGAGCTGTGGCTCAAATGGTAGAGCGCTAGCTTTGAGCAGAGAGCTCAGGGTGGGCGCCCAGGCTGAGTTCAAGCCCCAGGACTGGCAAAATAAAAATTGGCAACTGGGCATAGTGGCCCACACCTATGGTCCCAAGTGACTTCAGAGATGGCAGTACGGATTGTGACAAACTAATTGGGTGTATACCCACCCAGGATGCACTGTCATCTGAGTGCTATACCCCTAGCAGCCTCTCCTGGGAACCATTTTATAAATCCTCTGCTTGAAGATCTGGGAACAAGCTTTCCACCTGATCAGACCAGGATGGAGAAGCAGAGGATGAGAAGAGTGAACAGAACTCAACCTTCCTCACCTCGCTGGAGTGAGCATGCCCAGCAAGAATCGCTTCACAAAACACAGATTTCCTAGACAATGGAAGGAGAGCGAACTGCTGTCCTGCTAGCTCGGGGCAGAACATTTTGGGCGTGGAAGGTTTTGAATAGAACACAAACTCCACATTGCCAAAGCCCAAGTCCCACACGGCCACCAGAGGGCGCCAGTGCCCGCTCCCCACCAGGGCTTCTGTCAGCTCCCATGTAGTCAAAGCTCAGAGGGCCACCTAGGTCTGCAGGATGGGCACACTTACCTCACTGATCCTGTTTGTGCTTCTCTACGGGGCTGGCCTGACAGCCCCTGGACCCCAGGCCTAGCCACTGGCTGAGATGTGAACTTTAGCCCGTGGCTGATCTCCAGCTTCAATGACTCAATCTCCACCTTTGAGAAGTTGGGATGACAAGTGGGAGCATCAGACCAGTTTTCTTTTAGAAGTAGGAGGGATTTGAACTCAGGGCCTCTCACTTCCTAGGCACACCCCCAGTTTGTTTTTCAGACAAGGTCTCTGGCATTTGCTTGTACCAACTTCAAACAGGAATTCTCCTCCCTCCACTTCCTGAGTAGCTGGGATTACAGGTGTGCACTACACTGCCACACTGAGCTTCCTTGTGGGTTGTTTTTGTTTTTGTTTTGGTTGTTATGTCTCCTTGCTACAATGTGCAACTCCTGAGACTTAAGTGTTTTGCCAGTTTTCTTTGGTTTGTGTTTAACATGAAAGGTATGTGTGTATGTGTCAGGCCTGCTGTTGCCAGGACTAACTTACAACTATGAGTAGCATTAATTTTCACAAAACCCAGCTCTAAAACAGCATGTGACTTAACTGAACATAAACATTGCAGACAATGGAGGCTTTCCTCTTGAGAACAGGAAAGCCAAGCTACGTCATTTTGTCAGCACCTAGAGCATTCTTCTCCCTTCCCTCCCCTCTCCCCCCACTGCTCAGTGATAAGGCTTATCTCTCCAGCAAGTGCCAGATGCCAGCAATTCAGGGGTGTTGGGGTCAGGAGGAATGTCCCAGTTTGTATCCTGTCCAGACAAGCCTTTGACTAATTTGCATCCTTAAAAAAAAGTCATATTTCATGAATTTTGTATTTTGTCGGTTGTGAGGCCTGGGTGCTGTCCCTCAGCTCTTCAGCTAGTGCTCTACCACTTGAGCCACAGCACCACTTCTGGCCTTTTCTGTTTATGTGGCACTGAGGAGTTGAACCCAGGGCCTCATGCATGAGAAGCAAGCACTCTACCACTGAGCCACCTTCCCAGCCCCATACTTTAGATTTTAAGGTTTTTCCCTCCTTGGGTCTTGAACTCAAGGCCTGGGCACGGTCCTCTAGCTTTTTCACTCTATTAGTGCTCTGCCACTTGAACCATAACTCCATTTCTGGCTTGTGTATGTGGTGTGTGTGTGATTGATTGGAGACAAATCTGAAATTTCTGTTGGGGCTGGCTGTGAACCATAATCTGATCTCATCTTCTGAGTAGCTGGGATTACAGGCGTGAGCTGCTGGTCCCGTTTTATAGTTTAAGTAGTAACACAGGGCTGGGAATGTGGCTCAGTGGTAAAGTGCTAGCCTAGCATGCATGAAGCCCTGGGTTCGATTCCTCAGCACCACAAACACAGAAAAAGCTGGAAGTGGCGTTGTGGCTCAAGTGGTAGAGCTCTATCTAGCCTTGAACAAAAGAAGCTCAGGGACAGTGTCCAGGTTCTGAATGAAAAAAAAAAAAAATGCCCAAGGTGAAAGCGCAGGCCCATAGCCCCTGCCCCAGGAAAGCTGAGCTGGGAGGATGTTCAAGGTTGGCCTAGGCTCCACAACAGGGCAGGGGTGAGGGGCGCAGCCGCAGCGCAGGCCCGGGCATTGCCAGTGGGGAAGCAGGTGGAGCCCTGTAGAGTGCGCCAGGGCCAGCGTGGACCGGGCCCGGCCTGCGCCCCCTCCACGTCCCTCTCTCTGCCGCGCTCGCCACTTCCTCCCATTCTGTGCCGCTCCGCGGTCAGGCCGTTTCCTTCCAGCGCGGTCTGTGGGCCAGGCAGGGTGGTCACCGGTGATGGGGTCATGCGTTAAGTTTTTTGCTCGGGCTGGCCTGAACTGTGATCCTCCACCGCCTCCGGCAGCTGGGAAAAGCTCCCCGGCGCCCTGCACACCCACACCAACCACAGCACCCCCCCCCCCCCCCC